GGAGCAGTGTTAGTTCTAGCCAATAACTCCACTGAATATAATGGGTTTAGTTCAGTTGTAATACATTCTCTAAAACTTCCAAACTTATTATATAAGATACCCAGAGAAAACATATATTAACCTGTTATGGTTAGAATGATTTTAAAGTTTAAATACGCGATACAGAAACAGATTTAACTGTGTGACATTAAAACACGTCTTAAAATCAAACTAAACAACAACTTCTAACGTAGAACACGTCTTCTTTTTAATGAATGATATATACATTCTTTATAACAACTTGCTAACACACATACACACACTCAGTCACTCACACACGCACACACACCCTCTCTCTCTCTCACACACACACACACGCACACTCTCTCACTCACTCTCTCTCACGTACACACTCTCTCCCTCTCTCTCACACACTCTCACGCACACATGCACGCAGTCGCAAACACACACACTTTCCATCATTCACCGAAGGAGAGCACCGTCTGTATAACACAAAGGGTGCCATCACTCATGTGACCATCCCATGGAGTCCCATTGGTGCCTCAAGTACGCATTTACTGAGGGATCTCGACATCGGATCCTATACACGAGACCCAGACCCTGACAAAAATAGTTTGCACTGCATCCTCTGACTATCCCAGAACTGGCTAGTTTTTGCCCGTGAGCTCGCAATATTAGATTGCACATATTAGATTGTAAGTCATTGTGTTGATATTTTCGAACTAAACTAGCCTGGTCAGGAAGTTCGGTCTGGACTCAATCCATTGAGGAGTAATTATGATCAGGCAAAAGATGTTCGGGCCAATCAAATTGCCAAGGCGGGCTTTATACGATGATGGACAGATGATCTTCAGGGACGTAATCATCACGTTATCAAAGAGCGCTTGTCAAAGATGACTGCAGCTGGAGAATTGAGATGTACAGATTCCACTGTCACGTCTGTTGTAAAATAAATCAACAGCGCATTAATTTTATTAGAAGAACAGAAAACTGCAATCAATGCATTTGTCGATCGGAAAGATATTTTTGGCCTCCTTCCTACATGATTTGGCAAAAGTGTAACTTATCAGCTGGCTCTGACGGTCGCTAAGAAGATGGGACGTAATGAAAAGCCTGTGGTCGTTGTGGTTTCTCCTTTGGTCGCACTCATGGAGGACCAAGTAAAAGAAGCAACAATCATTATTTTACTTCTAAAATAAGTAAGTTCTGTTGACAACTGTGAAATGCTCTGATTGGTTGTAGGTCTACCGACTATCCAATTGAGTGCAGAGGTTTTTTTCCTGGTTCAGTTAACACACGCCTCATAATCAAAGCCCTATGAAGAAGTTTCAGACTCATATTCTCACTAGAATATGAGTATGATGAAGTCAAGATAGAACTAAACACTTGTGTATCTTAACCCTATCTTGTGCATCAATTAAAAAAAGTTACTCATTGGGAAAAAGAGGACAAAAATGTACATGTCAAAAAACTCTCATAAAAATGTGACGCTTTGGAGCACAGACTTAAGTTTGGTATCATTTTAAAGAAGACCCTTTGCAGATTATTGCTGAAGTAAAAAAATAATAATAAGTAAATCCCAAAAAAAGTTATATAGGTATAAGTTTCTGAAAATTATTTATAAAAAATATTTTATATAAAATATATATTTTATAAATCGGGTTGAACTCAAAAGTGCAATAAAATCAAAGCCATAAATCTAAATAGGTTGTGTTCCAAATTTGAGGATGATATCTCAAAAAATGAGCTTCCGGTAACAGTTTGTTTGGCCGTAGTAACATATTTTCCCCATTGGGTGCCAGCAAAACCCCACTGGTGCTCACAGTGATTGGATTTGAATTTGCAGTTTTTCTCTCTCACTATTACAAACACACACATGCGCACACACACACATATTTTTTGTAACACAAATGCTAACCACACTCTGACATCCATACCAACACACCCACACAAATATTGTTGCATAATTTATCCAGTTGGCTCTATAGTATGCCGAACCAGAAAACAGGAATAAAGCGATATTTGTTTTATAGGCCAAAGGTAAAAAAAAATGACACCATCTGATAAAAATTAGAAAAAAATAAAATTTTGTAGCCTTGCCATCAGAACATCTCGGTTACGGATGTAACCCTCGTTCCCTGAGTAGGGAACGGAGACGTTACATCAGAAGTGACGGAGAATGGGGGTTTCGCATAGAAAGCCAATCCTCTTCGACTATTTAACAACGAGCCAATGGCATGAAAATGCCTTGGGGCTGCGGAATTTGCATACCGTAACTCCGCCCCACCCCGTGGGTATAAAAGGAGGAAGTGAACGCAACTGCAGTATGTCTTCGCTGAGGAGCCAAGACTGAACTCCGGCGTCTACCCAGCGGTACAGCCGAAGTGGCAGGGAGACGTAACGTCTCCGTTCCCTACTCAGGGAACGAGGGTTACATCCGTAACCGAGACGTTCCCTTTCGTAGTCACTTCGAGTTACGTCAGAAGTGACGGAGAATGGGGGTCTGTGTCATCACGCCATCTTCAAGCTGTCTTCCAGTGCTCTGCGAAAGTCTGGACTCCTGAATAGCTTATAACCAGGGATCCTACTTTGACACAGGAATACCAAGGTACACTGGGAAACATATCCCGGGAGGGACATGCTACCAGATGCCTACCGAAGGAGGACTTACAATACACATATGTCCGTATAGGGACTACATATGGAGATCACTGGAGCACCAACCGCAGGTGGCTAGAAACTTAACTCCAGGGGTGGCAGATGGCTTGCCAAGGGAAGACACATGCTCAGAGAGGCTTGCAGTGGATAATACACATGAGACAGTTACCATAGGGAACCGTGCACATGGAGGCACCTAGCCGGCATCCAGAGCAACAGCAGTGGTGCCCGCATCGTCGGTGCTGGAGGACTCAAGACTTCAACGGAAGACACTGAGGAATATCGCACTTATCCAATCCGAGGAGTGGAATGGCGAGCAAGCGAAGACACCTAAGCGGGTCCAGTACTGGCGGAAGCGAGTACGTGAGAGGACACCGGCTCAATTCGCAGATTGTAGAATCTCGCGAAGGTGTTCGGTGTCGCCCAGCCTGCAGCTCTGCAAATGTCTGTTAGCGAGGCGCCATGCGCTAAAGCCCAAGAGGATGCCACACTCCGAGTGGAATGGGCCGTCACACCAAGGGGGCACGGTCGACCTTGCTGTTGGTAAGACAAAGCAATGGCGTCCACTATCCAGTGAGACGGCCGTTGCTTTGAGAGAGCCCTTTCCCTTCTGGCTCCCCCCATAACAGACAAAGAGCTGGTCTGAGGTCCTGAAACACTGCGTTCTGTCTATGTATGTGCGGAGAGCACGTACCGAACAGAGCAGTGCCAAGGCTGGGTCTGCCTCCTCCAGGGGCAGCGCTTGCAGGTTCAGCACCTGGTCCCAGAAGGGAGTGGTGGGAACCTTGGGCACATATCCAGGCCGGGGTCTCAAGATCACGCTAAGCCGGCCCGAACTCCAGGCACGCTTCGTCAATGGAGAATGCGTGCAGGTCCCCCACCCTCTTGATGGAGGCCAATGCAACCAGGAGTGCTGTCTACATAGGACAGAACCAAAACTCTACCGATTGCAAACACTTTAAAAAGACGTGCCTCGTGCAGCTCTTTCACTAGAGAGGAGGAAATTCACTCTTTCAGCGCTGAGGCGACCAGGGAGAAGCGCAAAGTCTGGCAGACCGCTGCTCAGATCGCAGGCAAGGCAGAATCTCGCTGGGTACCGCCGTCACACCAACACTGAAGAGGACGCTCGTCTCGAAGAGTCTTGAATCAGTGAGAATGACTTGAGGAGTGAAGAAATCTCTTGGCTCCGAAGCGAAAACATACTGCGGTTGCGTTCACTTCCTCCTTTATACCCACAGGGTGGGGCGAAGTTACTCTACGCAAATTCCGCAGCCCCAAGGCATTTTCATGCCATTGGCTCGTTGTTAAATACTTGAAGAGGATTGGCTTTCTATGCGAAACCCCCATTCTCCGTCACTTCTGACGTAACTCGAAGTGACTATGAAAGGGAATGAAAGCCTCTTAAAAAAGATTGCATAATTTTATAGTTAACTGAACCGGGGACTAAAAATTGATGTTTTAATGGGTTTCAATGGGGACATTTTTGTCCAAAAGGTGCTGAGAGGGAGTATTTTTTGTACCTAATGCAAAAAATATTTTTTTAAGAAAATGACGGTGAAATAGTAAAATTCCAATAAAAATACACACCTGTGCCAAGTTTTTAGCAGTTAGCTTTAACACAGGCAAAGTGATCAAAAAAACAAAACTGAAAAGGACAAAAATGTCCATAAAGATGCACAAGGGTTAAAGAGGCATACTCTGTAAGAGAACAGTTTGAACCCATGTGAGCAGCAAAGATTTATGTTCATAATTATAATTGGTAAGTACAGGCTGTTCTATACCTTTGTTACATGTTAAGTACATTTAGTTGCAGGTTATTATTACATTGTGTTTTACAACACTGTTAAATAAAGTGTTACCCTGAATCTTACTGTAATATCCAATGACTAAGAATTATTTTAAAGGGATACTACACTTTTTTTGGAAATAGGCTCATTTTACAACTTGTTTACAACTACAATTGACTTCCATACTAGGAAAAAATATATACTATGGAAGTCAATGAGACAAGAAACTCTCTGGTTGCTGATATTCTTCTAAATATCAGAAAACCGTCTGAATAGATTTAAAAACGGTAAAACTAACTATTTAACTCTGGGGGAGTTGTAAAATTAGCCTATTTTCAAAAAAGTGGAGTATCCCTTTAATACCAGCACGGTTGCGCAGAACACGTGTTCAGTGTGACACTATACCAGTGAATAAAGGTTGTGCTAGTCATCCCTCATTGTTCTGGGAAACTGGATAATGAATAAGCTCATGTATGCAGATATTTAACACAGTGACATCTAAAGTAGCTGAAACTTAAATCTATGACTTCACACATACAAATAATTAAGACATGTAAGATTGTTTGAAACAAAAACAAAAAAAGTCAATGATGTTATCAAACTTAATTGATCCATTTTTATTCATTATCCATCCAACTAGAGTATTTTTGCAAGAGCTCATAAAGAGATTACACATATGGCGAGGAGTATATAAAGAGTGTTAAGTGGAAGGTAGTACAGACTTCTTCTGCTTTACTAGTACAGTATTAAAAAGGCTAAAGGTCATCATCCCAGGTTACCAGCATCATCAGACAGAAAACTATATGGATGACACACTTGTGCGTGTCACACTCTGGAGATCATTGAGAAAGGGCAGGTGTAGCCGAGGATGTCACACTTTCTATTTTCTCCAGTTGCTTTTTCACACTTTCGTACTCCTTTTCCCACGCCACCTTGGAGAGAGAGGAAGGGCTGACCTCCAGAAACCTGTAGGCGTCTTTGGTCTGGAGCTTAAAGATGGCTGATGCTTTTTTACAGCCTGCACCAAAACTGTTCCAAGCCTGTGGAATTACAACATTTACAAGTCAGATTAGACTTTAAGATGAACCCTGGGCAAAATGGGGGAACCGTTAAAGGATTAGTTCACTTTAAAAAAAATCCTTTGCTGATAATGTAGTCACCCCGCCCCATGTCATCCAAGATGTCCATTTCTTCAGTCGAAAAGAAATTACGGTTTTTGATGAAAACATTCCAGGATTTTCTCCATATAATGGACTTCAATGGGAACCAAACTGCTCAAGGTCCACAAGACAGTTTCAGTGCAGCTTCAAAGGGCTTTAAACGATTCCAGACGATGAATAAGGGTCTTATCTAGCGAAACGAGCGGCCATTTCAAAAAGAAATAACAAAGTTTAAGTTTCATAAGCCCAAATGCTCGCCTTGCTCGACTCTCCTGTTCGAACTCGTTCATCAAAATGAACAAATCTTTTTTGAGTCATTTGGTTTATTCAATGAACGAAATGATCGAATTGACTGGAAAAAAGATTTGTTCATTTTGATGAGCGAGTTCGAACAGGAGAGTCGAGCAAGGCGAGCATTTGGGCTTATAAAACTTCAACTTTGTTATTTATTTATTAAATGAGCGATCGTTTCGCTTGATAAGACCCTTATTCATCGTCTGGTGTCGTTTAAAGCCCTTTGAAGTTGCACTGAAACTCTCATTTAGACCTTGAACTGTTTGGTTCCCATTGAAGTCCATTATATGGAGAAAATCCTGGAATGTTTTCATCAAAAACCTTAATTTCTTATCGACTGAAGAAAGATAGACACGGACATCTTGGATGAAAGTTTTTTTTTTAAAGTGAACTACTCATTTATGGTTTCCCTTTGGGGATAAATAAAATAAATCATATAAATCTTACTGAAAATGTTTTGAACAGTGTAAACATTAATTTTACCTCTTTAGCTGTTTTGATTGACAGTAGAAATTCCTCTTTTAGGTCAGCAAGGTCTTTAATAAGATCTTCTCCAACAAAGGTCTTCTGTTCCAGGTAGTCCAGCATCTGAGCAACACTCTCCCAGAAGTTTTTGAGCTGAATCATAATGGCCTGAATCTTGGTCAAGCCACTCTGAACATCCTTTAGATAGATGGGGTCGGGTATGGAGTCTGTAGACGGGAAATAAACGTTTCAACAAGACACAACTACATTGAATCTTGGCACATTGTTAAGAAGGACTTGAGTTGAACGTGAAAGAAAACAGACTCACTCCGGTCAAAACTGGCTCTGGCAACATTCATCTGGCCATCGATGACCTTGAGTTGGACCTGCCACTGCTTCTGTCTGAGAGTGGTCTTTTCAGCGAGGAGGCGATTCAGATCCGCTTCAAGAGCCTTCATGCGTGCAACATTTGCAGGGTCACGCACAGAATCGTAAATGCTTTTAACAATTAGCCAGATGAAGGGAACGAGGGCAGCGAAGATGCCGAGGCCTCTTCTCGTTGTGGTTATGGATCTGGCAAATGCTTGAATCTCTTGGATTTTGCTGTTGATCTTTTTCTCCGTTTCATCGAGCTCTCGTGTGGTTTTTTGGAGTTCAGATTTCAGATCATTCAGGGTTTTTTCAGCCTGCTTCAACTTTTGGTCTTGTTCAGTAATCTTTTTCTCTGCCTCTCTTTTTTCATTGACAACATCACTGGTGGACGATGCTACATCTTTGTTGTGTAACTCATACCTATACATTGTTTAAGAAATTATACAGTGAAATTAGTAGAACAGCTCAAGGTGTTTTTGAAATGTGTTTTCATGAGGAAAATGTTCTTACTTTTCCACTATCCTGTCCACATCAGTGATAATGTCTTTGATCCAGACTCGTGCTTTCCCTAGGAATTGGACTGCCAAATCCGGCTTATTTTTCTCCACAGCGCTCGCCAGCATTGGGAACAGCGACTGAACCAGGTTCTCACTGGTCAAAATACACTGGGAGAAGGACGAGACACGCTGTAAGATCACGTTGAGCAATCTTATTGCCTGTATTTGTCCTGTAAATCTTTCTAAAATGCTCATAACTGTTATTATAATTTAAGTTCAAAGTTGAAATTTATAAAAATGTTATAAACTTTATAAGAAGCATATCAAACCAAGTTGATGTGTACAACATCTGAGGATATAAAAGATTTTACCTAAAATGTCGGGTAAGGGAGACTAACTTAGCTACATCTCTAGCTAACAGACAGAGATGAAAATACCGAAGTCAAGAGAAAGTCTGAAACAGTACTTTCAACATGGTTGCATCCGATGATCCGAACAGAAGCTGGGTTTCCACAGCGCGACTGCGGATGAGTCTCTCCAGGCTGGGGAAGCTGGCCAGGCACAGGTACGAGAGACGGTAGAGAAGCGCTGTCTTTTCAGCAGCCGGGAGAAGCTCTTCTACAAACGTCGGGCTCCACTGGGACAAAACCACTGGGGAAAAAAACATTGAACATGTTTAAAGGCTGGAAAGATCACAGTGATGCCTGGTATTGTTTTCTGTTTGATAAAAAAGTACTTGCTTTTGCTATCAGCCATCCTTTGTAGTTGTAGATTTACACAACAAAATGTTTGTAATGAGTTCTCCTACAATGTAATTAAAGCAGAACAGTTTGGTCTCGGAAAATACAAAATGGAAATGGAAGGATATCTGAAAATGCCAAGTGAAACTGACTTACCTTTGTTTTAGTAAGTGAAATGAACAAGGTGTCTGGTGCTTTTATACTAAAGGTATGAGCCTCCGCCCTTAGAGAGAATGACCTTGAAACAAACATGGGATTACTGAGTGTGGTTAAGGTTGGGATACATGGAAGTGAACTTCCCCCCAAGTTTTGCAATGAGTATTAGTGTTGTTCTTAAAGGATTAGTTCACTTAAAAAAAAAAAAAAAACGTTTGCTGATAATTTACTCACCCTGATGTCATCCAAGATCTCCATGTCTTTCTTTCTTCAGTCGAAAAGAAATTAAGGTTTTTGATGAAAACATTCTAGCATTTTTCTCCATATAATGGACTTCAATGTTAACCAAACGGTTCAAGGTCCAAATGAGAGTTTCAGTGCAAACTACAAACTGTTCAAAGGGCTTTAAATGATTGCAGACGATGAATAAGGGTCTTATAAAGCAAAACCATCAGTCATTTTAAAAATAAATAAAGTTTCAGTTTTATAAGCACAAATGCTCGCCTTGCTCTGTTCTGCGATGCACGTTTGTGACGTCACGTAATACGCAATTATGTTGAAAAGGTCTCAGAGCAAGGCGAGCATTTGTGACCCTCATTCATCGTCTGGTGTCGTTTAAAGCCCTTTGAAGCTGCACTCAAACACTCATTTGGACCATTGGAGAAAAATCCTGAAATGTTTTCATCAAAAACCTTAATTTCTTTTCGACTGAGGAAAGAAAGACATGGACATCTTGGATGACATGGGGGTGAGTAAATTATCAGCAAAACCTTTTTTTAAAGTGAACTACTCCTTTAAGCATGTCCATGTGTCCCTCAAGTGATGGCTGGGAAACTACTTGAACTGTGTGATACTAATGATGGCATAATTGTGAAAGGACATGAATATGAACATGAAAGATTCATGAGGAAAATGTTTGGTTTAAACAAGTTTTCGTTTGTACAACTAACAGTTACACGGACGGTAGCCCCATTGCTTTCGCTGAGAAACCTTTGACCGTCAACCGATAACTGACGCCAAGGCCGTTGATATTTTTAAGATCTGAAGTGAGCTACTTAAATAGCTTTATAACTTTGCTGGCTGAAATGTGTCCACGCTTGTGTTTATTTGTATGGAAAGGCATCTTGTATATTGTCATACGATAACATTGCGTGAGGAACAGAGTCCTATTTTGTCCGGTCCGCGAACAGCCTCATCAAACTCAAAGATGAGTCTGAATATTAGCATGTGGCAATCTCTAAAAACTGTTTAGCGTATAATGCTAGTAATGGGGGCATTGAGTAAGTAAAAAGAAATCGCTAGTTCTCTTTCGTAGTCACTTTGAGTTACGTCAGAAGTGACGGAGAATGGGGGTTTCGCATAGAAAGCCAATCCTCTTCGAGTATTTAATCACGAGCCAATGGCATGCAATGCCTTGGGGCTGCGGAAATTTGCATAGCGTACTCCGCCCTACTCCGTGAGTATAAAAGGAGGAAGTGAACGCCACCGCAGTATGTTTTCGCTTCGGAGCCAAGAGAACTCTTCACTCCTAAAGCCATTCTCACTGATCCAAAGACTCTTCGAGACGAGCGTCCTCTTCAGTGTTGGTGTGACGGCGGTACCCAGCGAGATTCTGTATTGCCTGCGATCTGAGCAGTGGTCTGCCAGACTTTGCGCTTCTCCCTGGTCGCCTCACCGCTGAAAGAGTGAATTTCCTCCTCTCTAGTGAAAGAGCTGCACGCGGCACCGCCACGGCCAACCCCAATTTCCTTTTTCCCCGAGTTGCATGCGGAACTGACACGCACTTGGGTAAAAAAAAAAAGCCCAGAGAGCGTGCTTCAGTTTCCCCGCCTTTCCTACCCTCGGCGACGCGGTTGCCTGTGGGTACGCTGGGACTCCCCCGGTGGAGCGCTCTGTTGCGATGCAGCTGCGTCCGCAGGGCGCGTCCTCCCGCGGTGCTCCCAGATGCCCATCCAAAGCCTATGGGTTCTCGTCGTCTATAGCGGCGCGATCCTGTAGAGCGGCGGGACAGGCAGCCTCCGCCCTGCATATGATGAGCACCTGCTAGCTGCTCAGGAATGTGCATGAGGAGGGGACGGACCAAGCGAGCTGCGAGCCTGCCACCTACCTTGCTCTCAAATGGGCGACGGAAGCGGCCGCTCGCTCCCTTGGTCAGGTGATGCCCACCGCTGTGGTCCAGGAGCATCATCTAAAAGTGTTTCGGCGGTGCGGTCCAGGACTTTGCCCAGCACTTCTCGACCGCCTAGGAGCAGACGGAGGCGGGTTTACACTTCTGCCCCGACGGCCAGCTGCTGCCTCCACCCAGCCGTCGGCTCAGACGCCTCCGCCCGCTCGCCGCCGAGGACGCCCCCTGCGGCTCCCTTCCCTCCCACACGGCCCCAGCAGCAGCCTTCAGCCGGTTCGCGTCGTGGAGGAGGCCACAGGTATTCGTTGTCGTTGTCGTGATTGTTTTCCAAGATGGCGCGTCCTGTATACATGAACATCTTATTAAACGGTCTGTACACTTACAAAGTTCTCAATGCTTCGTTTTGCATGTATGGAGCCTCATTATGTTACTGTGTTAGTGTGGGGGTATTTTGAGCCTTGTTAGTGGCTAGCGATTTCTTTTTACTAGCGATTTCTTTTTACTTAGTAAATGCCCCCAGTACTAGCATTATACACTAAACAGTTTTTAGAGATAAAACTCTTTACATTCGATTATCATGAAAACAAATCTCAGAGAACGGTTCACCAGGTACCAATGTTTTATTAGACCAAAGGTTCATTTTGTGCCGGAGTTCTTTAAAGCAATCGTTTGGCCAGAAGACTTGAAATATTTGATATTTTTGAATAAATTATTGTGCCTATTAGAGAAATGGTTAGGTTAGGTGCTCAAAAACATCCAACTATAGTCATAGCCAAGAATATCATGTCATCGCGACACAACCCAGACAGCAAACTGACATTGAATTAACGTGGAAACAACGTCTCTCATGACATTGAAACAACGTTGATTTTGCTCATCGAATTAACGTTGAACCAACGTCAGACGCGGCATTCTTCAAAGCTAAATGAAAATCGAAAATTGGTTTGCTTTCATAACGTTGAAACAACGCGTCGATTTCAAGTTGATTTTCCGTTAGTTTTGAAAGAATGACGCATCTGACGTTGGTTCAACGTTAATTCGATGAGCAAAACAATGTCAGATCAACGTTGTTTCGATGTCCTATTTCCACGTTGATTCAATGTCAGTTTGCTATCTGGGAATTATACCCCAATATATAACTTCATGATTTCATGATGATAAATTCCCATGCCCATTGCGTCTGTATTGACGCCAAAGGTTTCTCAGAAATGTCTCGTATGCGTTTCGTGCATTAGTCTTGCCGTTGTCTGACAAGGCCCTTTCACCAGATGCGATTTCTCAAGAAAATACGTTACCCATCAGTTCTGACTCTCATCAGTATTTCAACAGCCTAGATAAATAAGAAACAAGTGTTGCAATGGCAAAAAATCCTTATTTCCTTATTACAATAAATCCTTACTTCAAATGCGATGCTGTTACTCAGTCACGGAAGTGTGCGTTTACACTGAAGTCTTAAATGAGACACAGGCCTTAAAATAAGAACAACACAGGAAATAAATATTGATGCATGATCTTTTTACACGAAGATACAGCAATGAAGCTGAAATCAATGAGTGAACTGAGAAAATGTGGAGGACAAAATATTTATTAGCAGTCATTAAACAGAATTAGCAGAGTGTGTAATTATACAGATCCCCATCTCACACAGGCTGATGGAGCAGTGTTAGTTCTAGCCAATAACTCCACTGAATATAATGGGTTTAGTTCAGTTGTAATACATTCTCTAAAACTTCCAAACCTATTATATAAGATACCCGGAGAAAACATATATTAACCTGTTAATAAGAATGATTTTAAAGTTTAAATACGCGATACAGAAAATTTAACTGTGTGACATTAAATCACGTCTTAAAATCAAACTAAACAACAACTTCTAACGTAGAACACTGTAATTCTTTTTAATGAATGATATATACATTCTTCATAACAACTTGCTAACACACATACACACACAGACACACACACACACACACACGCACGCACGCAGTCGCAAACACACACACTCTGCTTCCCTCTGTCCCACACACACACACACACACACCAAACCAACCCATAACAGGAAGCTTTCTGCATTTTAATAAGAAACTGTTTAGTGTGTTAGATGAGGAAATATACGAAAAAGTATAAATCTTTTCATAAATCTCGTTGACATTGTAATACCAGTTTAATACCCATGTCATTATACACGTCTGTCCTCATCAATCAGCAGACACAAGGAGGGGGAATCTAGAGCACAAAGTATCTCTATCTGCGGACGATATGTTGTTGTACATTTCTGACCCATCCTCGAGTCTTCCAAATCTATTCAATTTACTTAATGAATTTGGCCAGCTATCTGGTTATAAAGTGAATTATCAAAAGAGTGAACTAAAGATTCCAGATGTGCTCTCTTCTTCAATCCCTTTTAAGATCACCACGACAAAGTTTAAACATTTGGAGGTCTGGTTTACACAGAATTGTAAAGAGCTTTATAAAGTCAACTCTTTTTTACTCGTAGTTTGAAAAGTGGGACTCCTTGTACCTTTCCCTGCACTGTAAAAAAATATTGTTGGTTTAACTTAAAAAAGTAAGTAACCTGGTTGCCTTAAAATTTTAGGTTGATTGAACTGGAAAAAGTGAGTTAATACAATGAAGGAGATTAATTTAATCATCAGAAACTCAAAATAATATGTTCTCAACTAAATAAATTATTTAAGTTGATTTGACAAAAGAAAAAATGTTGTGATAACAAATCTTGAAAATATTTTTTTTACAGTGTAGGTGGAAGGATTATCATTAAGATGACTGTTTTGCCCAAGTTGTTATACATTTTCCAATTTTTCTCACAAAATCTTTTTTCATTTATTTTTTTTTTAATTTAAATAATCAAATTATAAGTTTTATCTAGAATAAAAACGCCCAAGGGCAATGGATAAAATATTGTAAAGACCCCGCAGCTTAGGTGGGCTTGCCCTGCCAAACTTTCTAAATTACTATTGGTCGGTGAATATCAGGGCAATTCTATACTTATTGAGGGGAGATGAGAAAGCCAGCTGGGCAGAGATGAAGAAATCATCCA